TTGATATTTAACGTCATTTACAAATACCAATAAAATAACCCCATGAAATAAATGAGATATATTGAAAAATATGAAAGCCCACCAAGACGAGTTTCATACCTGTTATTACCTGGCTTGGGAATTGCAGCGGTGCATAATTAACAGGTTTGTTGTAAACGAGCTTTTGGTCAACTACAATGCATTTAAAATGCATCAGCAATCAGTAAGTTTGCCAACTGATGACAGTTAATCTGAAAGACTACCAGCTCTTGATATGATCTAAACCACCTGAGGTGACCATGATCTAGAGCATCGCAACTATTGTCACCGAAGTTAGTAAGTAAGTCACGGAAGACCGTCACAGACAAAGAAAGATTGTCAACGAGAGCTGCAATTTTGGTGAATCCCACGGCAACACACCGAGGCATAACGAAAATTCCTCAACTCCGTTCAACACAACTTTCATTAACTTCTCCGTCTGTATGCACCATGGACCTCAGTTGAGTCTCATAGACCTTTATCGTGATTGTCGTCACAGTACCACGTGACCCAGATCTGTTGCTTCATTTTTGCATATTGAGGTGAGGTTTACTAAAACGCTTTTTTTCTACTAATAGATTGTTTTTATAATTTTTAAATGGCGGGGATCGATTAAAACATACCTCTAGTGTATAGATTGAGTGCTGTATCTTCAAAATTCGAGAAATGGATTTTTACATGAACATTGTCCTTTAAAGTCGTGCTGTACAATCTTGTCCAAGCTGCCAACTCAACGTGACACCAGGGTCCTTCTGTTGACGTATTCACGCTCTGGTGACTGTAATTAGTAGCCGCCAACACAGACGTGTGGTCAGCTGCCTAACTATCTACCTGGAGCTACTACACCTGAGCTTGTTCAGTTACTGATAGGGTCATTACACCAACTGTGAGAGACGCGCATATGTATCAGGCGTGCGTGGAGCTAATTTAAATGTGTGTGGTTGGTGTGCATTAATAAAGAAGTGAGTGCGCACGTACATGCATATTTGCATGGGGCGCGTGCCTGTGTGTTTGCGTGCGTCTGTGTGTTTATGTGTGTTTTGGGGTGGGGAGTAACGGCAATGACAAGGTCTTTACATGTATTTCAAATAGACAGGGACCCTTCACCCCACAGCCCGACCTCATCCTGCGCTTAGGACTGACTTGGTATAAAAAATTCAAGGGCCTCGCCCCCCCCCCCCCCCACACACACACACATATAGCTGTAGCCTTCCTCCGACTCCTACGCCTATGATTTATGTACTAGTAAAGCCCTATTTAAGATTCACATTTACATGTGTATGACTTATTTGTAACCTGTGTTCCCCCACCGTGCTGAAAGAACATTATATAACAGGTGGAAGGGACTTCATCATGTCTTTATTATCGACCAACCGTGCTACAGGTAAATATACATTCCGCAGTCTAACTTCATTACCCAGATTGCTGTCAGAAATACAGTGGAGTAAATACAATGTGAATAGGTGGATAGGTCTTCTGCGAATAAAATGGCCCTATTCAATCTTGCTTGCCTTCTCCGACCATTTCGTTACTAATTAAATCACAAAGCTGCAGCACTATCTTGGCAAAAATCAGATAGTGATCGTGCCGAGTTTGAAGGTTTTTTTTTTTTTCGTTCAAACTCTAGTTGACTTTTGGAAAATCATTCACACAAACACACACATAGACACGTAACCATTTACTCATTAACACCAAAAGCGACCGGGCTTAGCCTGAATGTTTGAAACTTTAAATAAATCTTTACTACGATAGCAAAATCTTACCTAATGCTCCGTGTCAACCTGAACTTCAGCTGTGGAATGAGCAACGATCCCTTTAGCAAGCTGTTGTTTTGATTCCCCTATCTCCGCGAATGGCCTCTTGTCATGCGAGTATTGTTTGTGGGCGTGGGGGGTATAATTAGAGCATCGATGTCAATGTCATTCGCCCTTATCGGAACAAGCTATTTATCTCAGCTATCATTTCGGCAGTCCAGTATGCGATCCTTCCCTTTTGTCTCTTCTCACAAATACCTGTGCAAGCCTCACTGAGTCAACAACTTAAGCCAGTTAGTGTGCTATATTAAAAAATATTTGCGATGATAACCAAGAAACTATAACTGGTACTATTTTGAAAATGAAGATATCTTAATACAGTCATTAACCGCGACTGGAGGGTATTTATTGTTGGGCATGGACTATGCTCTGATATCCGGGCCCCACTAAAATACTTATAAAATCACACTGTGGGACAGAATTCATGTAACAGACTACTATAGCCTACCCTGCAGTCAGAGAGAAGGCAGGTACGATGTTCAGTTTTACGACCACTGTTTATGACTGGGCAGAGTTACATAACATGATGTCCTTATCTTTATGATACTTTATTATAAATCGGGCTATACATTTGTATCGGTATAGCGACGAATGGACGGCAGAGCGACGAATAAAAGCCTTTTGGGCACAAGAGACATGACTATGAGTACAGTGTACATGTAGGTGTCACTGGCTAGATGAGATTCAAGAAGCCAAACGCGATTAAAATGAAATTATATCTGTAAACAAGATGAATGAGGAGCATTAAATGAAAATATTAATTCATTCAGCGAAGGATATGTAACGCAAATAAGTATATTGCAAAATGTTCCAAAAAATTAAGTAGAGCTTTTTTTTTCATAAAACCAAGGCGGTTTAAGAGACTTCCTCGATAAAACTAAAATTATTCCATAATTAACATGCCTGTGTGTTTTAAAGTCACCATAACGCGTGAACTATGCCGAAGAGACTCCATATCAAATTTACGTACCTGTGAAACTACATCCACGGCGGCAGAGCTACACCATCGACCGCAGCTCTTAAACAAAGAAAAAATCTATCCGTAATCAAATGAAACTCTCACGATTACATAAAAAAGGAGACTCGACCCTTTCGCATAAATATCGATCTCTTTATTAGTATAATAGCCTTATAATTATCAGCGTCGCTCGATTGAAGCCCCACGGGAGTTTCTTTATGGAATATCATTAAGTATTAGCTCACTTAATCCTTTGTTTTGCTATTGCCTCTTGTCTTTTATATCGACAGAATTTGTTTTCCGTTAGTGTTGGATAACATCTAATTAGATTAGTACAATGAGACTGCCAATCATTGGTGTGTGTTTTAGCTACGTTAATAGTATTTGTTTACTAGTTAAATGCATAAGTGGTGAATTATTGGAGCAAAACATTCCATAAAACTGAATTTGATCGGGTTAGCGATTCGTAAGCCCTTTTTCCCATAAGGACTAGCTATGATGTTAATCTAATGTCATTTGGCTAGCCGTTCAACTTGCTTCTCGTATGTATTATAATGGATCAGGTTTCTTTTTTTTTTTTTTTTTTTGTCGGGAGGAAATCAAATAACAAACGGCCATTAAAATTTTAGAGGTGATCCATTCACTAATTAAATGGGTAATTTACAATAATTAGAATTGAGCTTCCTTTGCTGAGGTTTGCGTAATCTGAGTGCTTTTCAAGCTGAGCACTGCAAGGTGACATTGAATCTATTTTTCTCGAGCGGAGAGTTTTAAGTATTTTAATTCCAAAGGAGTTTAAATAAGTAACGCGCGCCTTGCATGTGACCTCAAGGCATGCCTGAGAAGGGTTTGTCGTTTGCCAACTGAACGGTATGAATCAAGAGTCGAATTTTGAAAACAGATTGTATACTATATGAGCTAGAGTGTGTTTATGTATGCGAGTTTGTGTGTGGGTGTGAGAGAGAGAGAGAGAGAGAGAGAGAGAGTGTCGAGAAATTCAAAGTTTGATTACACTTTACTAATTGCGTGTAGCACTATTACATGTGGATTTCACGTTATTTGTAGAGTGCATTCACATGTACCTTGAAGGTCTGCACATCTCTTGTTGTTTCTCTGTGTTTGTGAACATATGTACAGGTACATGCACGTGCGCACGTTATGGATTGGTGCGCGCGTACCCGTCTCTATTGTGTTCATACACGTGAATATCAGATTATCCCGACATCACAGTCAATNTATAATACACAATGCACGATACGTATATGTATATTTAGATGATAACTGCATATGTATAAAAATGGGCTTTTATTGAACACCACTATCCAAGAAATACTTTTAAATAGTTTGTTGACCCTTTCCCCGAAATGTGTGACCCCTCGCTGCGAATATTAGTATAATGAGAACAAGGACACCTGGCTGGAAAAACCGCTGGGTGCAAGATTTAGGCCACAGGAAATGAACACAGTTTCTGGTCTTCCCGCACGTCACGCAGTTACCTGATACAACAACATACTGGGATGAATACCTTTACTATCTACTAGATTTTAAAGATATCTACATTTTTTGGCAATAATATTCTGTGATTTTTTCATGGTTCATGAGCATTCATAACATTATTTTATTGTTGACAGAGTTTATTATATACTTGTTCAAAGTACAGCAATACACATGTAGGTCAAATAAATAATTATAAAAGGTTGAAAATATCGTTTACACCGAGTGAAGTTTGATAACGTCCAACTGAAAGACTGTCCACTATAACGTCGAATAATTTTGTCCGGTGAAACGTGACAGAGAGTCCCCCATGATAGAGAGTCCGCTTCCCATTCATTTGTACAGGTAAGCCTCGCACTAGATTTTGACCCACTTAGGTCAGGCTAACCCTAACCATGTTATAATTAAATGGAGGGCAGACTTTCTGTTACACGGACCCTCAGTTTCGTCACACCTGGCTAGCCTAATCCCCGTCTCTAAGCATGTGTTTAGGTGACATCCAGATATCATATCGGCATTGACAATTCCCTACGATGACTCGCGATAGTAAGTCGTCGTTGTCTTCTGTTTTACCAAAACTGGTTCTGCTTTTAACTTTTCATACAATAGTATCTGGTGCAACCGTCCCGAAAGATGTTTACGACAAGAAAATGCAGCTGTCCCATCTTTTGTTTTGGATAGAAGATTTAACTCAGATTCTGCACGCAGAGTGCCCGTCGTTTGTTGGATCCATCGCCGGGCAAACGTTAATCGGCAGACGACAGTTGCAAAGCGCAGGAAACGACCTCGTGCGCCTGGAGCTTGAGATTCGACTGGCTGAAAAACGACTGGATTATTTAATGGAGGAATACACAAAGTGTAAAGGATCGCAAACCGTGAAACCAGCCGCGAGTGAAAAACCCTCACCTCAACCCGTGACGGCAGCTACTACTACGACCTCCCCCAAAACAGGTAGAAATATGTCGTCTTTATTTTTCTAAAATATATCAGTTATAGGAATAAGCCCATCCAAAATAATAATAATAATAATAATAATAATAATAATAATAATAATAATAATAATAATAATAAGATGATGATGAAGAAGAAGAAGAAGAGAAAAAAATCGATGATGATAATGAAGAATAATTAAACACTTAGCACTGCATTTTGATTAATCCTCCAGCATGGCCTTAAAATATGTTAAAAGAACTTCCTCGCTGTAACAATTGGCTGTCAGAAGCTTTCGGTGTTTTAGTCGAACAATTTTTTAAGATTTGTCATCAAATAGGTGAAAAAGCAATTCTGGTCTTTGACTACAAAAATCGATTCATCTGTAAAAAGCCTATCCCTTTAACATTGCACTTTGATTTAGAAAAAAAGTTAGGTAGATTCTGTAGGGGATTTTCAAACACTTCAAACACAACTTGAACTAAAATTGTACAGGTATTTCAGGTATCCGTCATCACAGAGTTTACTATGTTGGCATCGTGGAGACATATTGGGATTACGCTCCAAATGGTAACCTGGTCAGCCAGAAACTAGACAAGTGAGCACATGCACATTTACACTCTAGATTATCTTTCTAAAGGAAAGAATATTTTAACGTACTAATGGCCGACTCAAATTGACAAAATAGTCAGACTTATGTCATTTTATAAACCGTCTCAGAAACTTTTTTATCTGGCAAAACTTCTTTTGTGTTTCAATTATTAATTAATTAATTATTTGTGAACAGGGCTGCCAACAAGTACCTCAATAGCTCTGCATACCTGGGTAAAGTTTTCAAGAAGGTCGTCTACCGGGAGTATGAGGACTCCAGTTTCAGCAAGCAGAAGCCCCACCCTCCCCACCTTGGTGTACTGGGGCCCATCATCCGCGGCGAGGAGGGAGAGAACGTCACGGTCTACCTGAAGAACATGGCCTCGCGTCCGTACTCGATGCATCCCCACGGTGCCGCCTACCTGAAAAAACACGAAGGTAATCATCTTGAAGCGTCCTGACTGAGGCCGCATTCACAACAAAAGTTGATCCGCGGACTAAAGGATCTGTGGATCAAATATGGTCGACCCACATGAAAGCTTACCTCGTAACTCCCCGGGAAATCTCTTCATTGCCTATTAGTCGATTTTGCGACAAGCTTTTAAGTGGGTCGGCCATATTTGATCCAAGGATCTGTTAGTACGCGGATCAATGTGAATCTGAATGTGCCCTAGGTAAGTTACTTGTGACCACACGGTCCGGGCACTGACTAGGATAAATCGACAAGAGTACCCAAGAAATGTGGCGCTGTCCTCAAACATCCCAAACACACGCGTACCTATCAAAGCGGCGTGGGAACGCGGCACATGTCATCGAAGACCTGTGGCCCATGGCCAGTAATATTGCCCGTTTAAAGTAATCTTAAACGGGCAAGATTACTTTAAACAGATATGAAGTTAGACTTAAGTAAGAAGTGGACTTAATTAATCTTAACGGTCCCTTTAGCTTGTCAGGTTTCGAAAAAAAAATGTCAATTGTACTTATGAAGTCAGCAATAGGCGGAAATGCTCAATATAGCGGATACCAATACCCATCCCTTAATGCTCTATTTCAGCGTTTAGATAAGCCTATCCAATTATTCAGTACGTATCATCCACACGTATTTGTTATGTCCAAATATTGTTTGGTCCCCTGCGTTGACACCAAAGCGGATTATCAGATTTCGCTCCCTTTTTACTTAGTTTTAAATATGACATACGCTAATCTACTAACTGTGATGAAGCTCGTCTTATTCTTGACACTAGAACATGAGAATCACATTCTTTGTATTTAATTAAATAAGAAATACATTTACATATTAACGTTTTCTACATATTGGTCACAACCTTTATGATTTCAGGAGCTCTCTACATAGATGGTACCAGTGGTCAAGACAAACTGGACGATGGTGTTAGGCCGGGGACAGTGGTCCGACTGGACTGGCTGTTGCGATCAGAGACGAAAGGGGAGCCCGCTACTGGTGATGAAAACTGCGTTCCCTGGGTGTACCACTCCCATGTTAACCCCATTAGAGATGTGGCGGCCGGCCTTAAAGGATTGCTGTTAATCTGCAGACCGGGTGGGTATACTGTTCAAATCATCGAAATAAATGAATGAATAAATAAATAAATGAATAAATAGATAAATAAATAAATAAACTGACGTATGTCTACATGTACACATGGAGTTAGACTTTCTCAACAGAACTCACGTGATATACAACTGTAATTTTCTCTAAAGACATGTTTTGACAAATCAAATATGTACGATTTTTAAGAATACGTCATTTGTTGTAGCAGTTGAGAGGCGCTATTAAATCAAACTCACCAATACATCCCATATTTTAATTGTAAAGCATGTTTGAAAAACAAACTCTTTTTGAATCTATCCAACATATAACGTCATCATATCATTAATGTTTGTATTTAATCTTAAGGTACGCTTGATGCTAATAATAAACGCAAAGACGTCGACAAAGAGTATCTGCTCTTATCCCACATTATTAACGAATACACAAGTTGGTATCTGGACGAAAATATCGGCGACAGAGCAGTCAATCCCGAAAACGAGGCTTTCCAAGAAGCGCTTCACTTTCATACCATAAATGGGCGTATCTATGGCAACGTGCCAGGTCTTGACGTCTGCGTCGGCGAGAAGGTTGCTTGGTACTTTGTTGGCCTTGGCAACGAGGGAGACATCCATACTCTGTCGTTCAATGGACAGACACTGGAGTATAACCACCACAGGTTGGCCCAATATGTTATAACACACACACAAAAAAAAAAAAACATATAGTTTTTATTATGATAAAAAAGTAGTTAAGAATTACGAATTAGGATGACAGTGTTATAAATTAAAACAATTTGGCCCTAGCATAACAGCACAGTCACCAAAAACCCTTTTAAAAATGAGCATTTAATCTTTGAGATTTAACATTTTAGAAACCAGAAGGGCTTAACCCATGTCTTCCAACTCTTGAATAACACGTATCTTAGTCTCTTGGATCAAACATATTTTGAAAATATTAAGATTGTTATATACACAACTGTTTTGGCATTCAGAACTGACATCGTGGCGTTATTCCCTGCAAAGTTTGCCGCCGCCACCATGGTTCCTAGTGAGCCCGGAACGTGGCTAATCAAGTGTCAGATGTCAGACCATTATGAAGGTTAGTATCCAAGTATAGTTTGCTTCAAAAAATTGTCAGGTCATCAGATACCTTCAGATATTATCAAGAAAGCGCCTTGTGTGTCTACTCTCATGTTTAGCCGTGGCTATGTTTTGAAATACTCCGCACCAGTATACTCTAGATTATAGTGAATTTTTCTTCCATTTTTTTGCATTGGTTGAACAACTTTTATGCAAGGAATATAATTACTTTAGAACTATAAATACCTCTCGTTTTTCTTTTTCGCTCCCACTGCATTAGTTTGTTTTCTAATCCGGATAACCCCGCATCTGCGTCACGGGTCACAGGGCTAAATGATTACGTTTTCATATCCGGAGAGTTCCTTACTAGTTCGACTTCCAATAAACGCACCTTTGGTGGTAAAAGAATGTTTTCAATTTTTAATTTTTTTGTTTTTCTAGCTGGAGAGCAGGCATTTTTGAGGGTGACTTCATCATGTGGTGCGAAGAGACAAGGCCAGGCGCAGCTAGGAGGACAGACGAGGACATACTACATAGCCGCTGAGGAAGGTGTGTGGGACTATGGTCCATCCGGTAGAAACGAATACGAGAGGAACTCACCGCCCCTTGCCTCACCTGGGAGGTAAACTTAAATGATAGTTATGCCCAAAGCATTTGGCATTTTGAACGGAAAAGAAGAGGGTAGTTATTATTTGCTTCATCACAGGTCATTCTTATATATATTTGATGACTTGATAAGTTAATTAAAAAAAGTTAACCCCCCCCCCACACACACACAAACACACACACACACATCCACACATTAAAAAAGCTGCTGCGTTATTATTTAAAGTATGGTACTTTGGCTCATGGACAATTCTGTTATCATATTCTGACCAGCAAAGTATTGTTAAAACTTGTTAGCGATGTTATCATTTAAACTGAGATTCAGATAGCCCATAATTGGAATTATGAATAATTACATATTAATAATTATTAATAATTACATTAAAGAGACAGCCGTCGATCAAAAATTTTGGAATTCCATTTCATTTTCAATTTCTTTAGTTGCGATACATTACTAAAAATGATCAGAGCTGTAAAGACATAATTCTCTTTCCATCTAGCCGCTCCCACATGTACTTTGAAAACAGCGACGTCAAAATTGGCGGGAAATACTGGAAGGCGAGATTCCACGAGTATGAAGATGCTTCTTTTACTAAGAAACGTAGCAGATCTGCAGCTGAGCAGTACCTGGGTTTTCTGGGTCCAGTCATTCAAGCCGAAGTTGGAGATACTATAAAAGTAGATAGTTTATATCATCCATTCAGATTTTAGTGGAACTCATCGTGTGCTTTTTGATTGTGTTATACATTTCGCTGTCTTATTGTACTTCATCTTGTTCTCCTTTTTTTCCCTCTGTGATCGACATTTTTGTCCAACCAGTTTTGTCTACAAGGGCTGAAAAGAGGTGCATTGATAACCTTTTTCTGTTATGGAAGTAAATTCGAAAGAAATAGAGAGAAAGTTTATCACGGAGGGACAAGTAAAAATGGCTTATTTTCACGTCAAACCGCCGAGGAAGTAAATTCAAAGCCATTCTTTCAAAACAATAATGATCATAATGTGAAAATAATAATAATGAAAAAACGGTCTTAATGTTTTAATGTAAAAAATGTCTAAATACCATCTACCCGGGCGATTTCATCTCTATCATCTCAGTGCAACTTTTTCATCTACATCTACATCTAGATACACATCTAGTACATTTTGTTGTTCTTTTTCTCTTCAGGTTGTCTTCAAGAACATGGCGTCTAGACCGTACAATATCCACCCCCGGGGCGTTCGGTATACGAAGGACAACGAAGGGGAGGATTACTCTGATGGCAGAAAGGGTAGGGATTATTGCGAATATTGTTTTTATATATTTATGTATGATTATTTTCTTGCACGCTGTAAGTGACGGTTTTAGATACATATTTGTCTGCTGGCAAATAACATTTGTGAAATCATTACTGCATAACACGATTAATATGGAAAACATTTCACCATTCCTCTACTTTCGAAACCTCAGATAAAGGCAAAGGTAACGTAGGCGTGGCACCCAGGGAAACATACACGTACACGTGGACAGTGCCTGATTCATACGCACCGACGTCAAAGGACACCGGCTGTATCACGTACACGTATCAGTCCGCGGTGGACCCGGTGAGGGACATGTATTCGGGACTGGTGGGGCCGCTTGTGGTGTGTAAAAAAGGAGCACTGAAACAGGTAGAGCATCTACATACCAGTGTACACTGAGTGCAGTCTTATAAATACATGTAGTGCGTAAAAGTTGTACATGGCCAAACTTATATGTCTACTATTAATTTAACTGCTGTGTAAAATTTTGAGACCAAAGCGACAGGTTTAGTGCCGATGAAAAATAAAATTGTTTTGTACCCTTGTCAAATGGCCTTGACCCAAATGCTGTCTCGGTGAATCAGAATCATTACACATTTCCACATTTGTCCACTGTACTCTATCTTTTAATGGTGGTCCAAGTCTCGGGCGTAAATCTGTTTTATTCAAGAATAATTTTCTCTTTCATAGCGCGGCAAGGATTATATCCTTCTATTTGCCGCCACGGACGAGAACCAGTCATGGTATATAGAGAAGAATATGGCGGAATCTACTCGACTGAAACCAGGTGCCAAGCTGCCGGCTGATTTTGAAGAGTCCAACATAATGAGAGGTATCTGAACTGAAGGCATCTATCTAATGTTCATTTTGAAGAAATAGAGTTTCGCCTTTTCGGTTTATTTTTTAATTTGTGTGCAGACATTACAAATCTGAACAATATTCTGCTAAAAGAAGGTAAACATTTATCAAAAGTTTATACTTTTCATATTCATGATATTTACTCTTAATGAGTGTACTGCCCTCTAGTGCATTTCCTTTTCAACCAAATCCCCTTTGATTACAGAAGTTTGTCATTTTGATCACGTGTTCTTAGAGATGGAATAAATGCACTTCAATATTTTAAAAAGGCCGCGATCGCCATTGGTGTGCAGATCAGTAGATAACAATCATAAAATAAATAAATTATAATCTTTTATCTGTTTCATAATGTACAGGCATCAATGGGTTCTCGTTTGGGAACCTGCCTCTCTTGAGTACATGTGTCGGAGAACATGTCACCTGGCGCCTTCTATCGGTGGGAAATTTACTGGATATGCACACGCCCACTTTTAACGGAAATACTTTCTTGCGGTTTGGTGGCAATACTAAGGACTCGGTTTTTCTTTTCCCTGGAACTTCGGAGACGTTGGAAATGGTTCCAGTTAATTCAGGTAATGCAACTGTATTATCATTTTTTGTCAAGTGCATTTCAGGCGCCCCATACACGTATATATCTCCATTGGTTTGAAAAAAAAAGAAAAAAATGCATGTGCATGTGAATATTTTTCTGTTTTATTGGTTCTGGGTTTTGCCATTTACTAGTTCATGTTGCTGTGGGTTTTTATATATGCGTTTATACTTTACTACTACGTACTCTAACTACCTTAATATGGCATATGTACCGGTAGTTACTTCTATTTTCATTTATATAAAGGTCAATTGATTTTTAATGAGAACTGTGGCCATGTAGAAAGGACAGTGTATAATAATTGGCACATTTATCATTTCAGGTACATGGAGTCTTGTGGACGGTAACAATGAGAACTTTAATGCCGGGCTCAGTGCATTATATAAAGTGTCCGTTTGCACCAGGGTTTCTAATGTGGGGAAAGCAGCAGCAGCGCCATCTTCAGGTGGAAGTGGCGGGAAAACGCGCACCTATTATATTGCCGCGGAGGAAGTGATGTGGGAATATGCGCCGTATAAATATGATCTGGTTTTCAATAGAAGTATCTTTTATTCGTAAGTAGAAAAAGAGCAATATTTTAAGCTCCCTTTAAAAATGGAGATTACTAAAACTGTTCACTTGGAAAAAGAAGTAAAAGAAATTGTGTTCCCTTCAGAAGTTCTTTTTGTTTGCGTGAAAAAAAAAAAAAAAAAAAAAAAATATATATATATATATATATATATATATATATATATATATATATCGTCAGAACCGATGTTATGATATCAAAGCAACAAAACATCGATAGACAATGTACACGTAGGCCCATATATCATTTCTGAATTCAAATTTCATATTAAATCAAATAATCATGTTGACGCACATTGATTTCTGTTTAAGTCTGGCGGTTAGATGGTGCAATAAATCTACGGCTTCGAAACCTGTACCATTTAAATCTCTTTTCATAGTGGTATGAATATATTTGTTCGTGACGACTTCCCGTTCCTTGGCTCGGTGTACAAGAAGGCCGTCTATAAGGAATATACAGATGCCAGTTTTACACAGAGAAAGGTCCGCACTTCAGAAGATCGCCATCTTAGAATTTTGGGTCCTATGATAAAAGCCGAAATCGGAGACACGATCAAGGTGAACTTTTCACTTATTTAGACCTCTAATATTCATCTTTTCTTTATGGCATATAGGCCTAGTACATTTTAGTAAAGGCTTTTCACATTGGATTACCCGGGGTACCAAAATACCGATTCCCTACACACACACACGCACGCACGCACGCACGCCAGCACCCTCACAGACTCCCTCTCTCTCTCTCTCTCTCTCACACACACACACACACACACACATATGGTATTATTTGGGTCAATTCCCAGTCCGGCCCTCTCTGGGCTTGTTAAATGTTTGCCCTTTTTCGATCTTGGGAAAAGACAGGCCTTGCCATCTTGCTATTATATTTAGATATATAAGACGAAAACATAGTAAGCAACCCTTGAGTGTTCTCCTATGCATCTCAGGCTGACTTTTTACCAGATGTAAAGCCAGACATCTAGCCCAAAGCAAGGTCCTTTGTATCTGAGGCCAGGCGAATGGCAAAAGTGATTATTTCTCTTTTTAAGCTCACAGTTACTTACTTGTATCGAGCAACTATATTTTCCGTCTATGCTTTTTTTTCAATGTTTAAAATAATATTTCACAGTAGGCCTACTGTAGAAACACAAAGCGCTACTTTTAAAATTTACATCATGTCTATATTTCAGGTTGTCTTCAATAACATGGCTTCCCGCCCTTACTCAGTTCACCCCCATATGGTACTGTATTCTAAAGACTCCGAGGGACAATCATACAGAGATACTACCAATACTACGGTAGGCGTGCCTCCTTATTCCATTAGGACATACACGTGGTACGTGCATGCGCAGTCGGGACCCGGAAGTAACGACCCAAATTGCATATCGTCTGCTTACTACTCTGCCGTTAATCCTGAAAAAGATGTCTCAACCGGGTTGGTCGGGCCATTGATCGTCTGCCGCAAAGGGATATTGGATGAAAACAACAGACGTCTGGATGTTGACAGAGAGATAGCTACTTTGTGGAATGTCATGGACGAGGGAGAAAGCTGGTGGGTATGGCACTTATTGCAGATTTCTCTTTGGGTTCGTTCACAATGAAAAGGTCGTACTAGGTAGTTCGAGCTAACTTCGCGGGGACTCTCGCTAAATGCAATAGATGGATAGTTATAACATGCCTCCACCTGGCGTTGGGTAGAATACAGAAAACTGGTGGTTATACGAGTAAGTTGGAAGACAGAGGAAACGCGTTTATCTGTTAATCTGATTTAATTTCATATTTCACTCTCACAGGTATCTTGACGACAATATTGCTGCCAACAATCCTAAAAATTTGACGGTGGATAAGGATGATGAGGATTTCCACGAAAGCAACAAATTCCATGGTGTGTACTGTTTAATATCGATTGTTAATTGAATCAATATATCAGTTATCGATCAGCCAACTGAGAGTTTCTTTATTAAATTTGTTCTTTGTAGCCTATATACTGTATACTATCACTCTGTTTTAATTTAGATTATTTTTCAGCAATTTTTTCCTTTTATATCGTTACTGTGATGTGACCTTCCCTGGATATTTTATATAAAAGTTATTACGTTCATTTTGGACATCTGAAATTCTGTGGTTAAATGCTTATCATACCAATCATTCATTATTGTATCCGTAAAAATCATCGAATATCGGGACAGGTGCTCTACGGTAATTGTTATAAATTTATGCAACACTCCCTGTCATTCATTATTATATACGTAAAAAATCATCAATTATCAAGATAAATAAACGAAATTCTCCCTGTTGTTAGTCATCAATGGAGAGATCACTGCGCTTGATTCCGGTTTTGACATGAATCAGTGTGATCTGGTGGCCTGGTACCTGTTAAGCCTGGGAGGAGAGACAGACATCCACACCGTGCACTTCCATGCCCAGTCCTTTATATCTCGAGCTGAAACCCCGCACAGAGGGGACGTAGTTGAGGTGGGGGCTATTTATTATATAAACGGAAATGTTAATGTTAACAAGTGTTATGTAGTCAGAGTAAGACATATGATTTTTATTTCAATATGCATAGCGGCACAGAACTGGAAGATCTTAATATTTTTTATTTTAGATTTTCCCTGGAACCTTTGAAACGGTCACAATGCTGGCAGACGACCCCGGCACGTGGTTTGTACACTGTCACGTGGATGATCACGTGGCTGCTGGTATGGATACAGTTTTCACAGTTCACCCCAGCACTTCCAGCAATGCTACCGTGGGATTGTGTTAGTAGAGATACAATCGCAATCGTNTTTTTTTCAATGTTTAAAATAATATTTCACAGTAGGCCTACTGTAGAAACACAAAGCGCTACTTTTAAAATTTACATCATGTCTATATTTCAGGTTGTCTTCAATAACATGGCTTCCCGCCCTTACTCAGTTCACCCCCATATGGTACTGTATTCTAAAGACTCCGAGGGACAATCATACAGAGATACTACCAATACTACGGTAGGCGTGCCTCCTTATTCCATTAGGACATACACGTGGTACGTGCATGCGCAGTCGGGACCCGGAAGTAACGACCCAAATTGCATATCGTCTGCTTACTACTCTGCCGTTAATCCTGAAAAAGATGTCTCAACCGGGTTGGTCGGGCCATTGATCGTCTGCCGCAAAGGGATATTGGATGAAAACAACAGACGTCTGGATGTTGACAGAGAGATAGCTACTTTGTGGAATGTCATGGACGAGGGAGAAAGCTGGTGGGTATGGCACTTATTGCAGATTTCTCTTTGGGTTCGTTCACAATGAAAAGGTCGTACTAGGTAGTTCGAGCTAACTTCGCGGGGACTCTCGCTAAATGCAATAGATGGATAGTTATAACATGCCTCCACCTGGCGTTGGGTAGAATACAGAAAACTGGTGGTTATACGAGTAAGTTGGAAGACAGAGGAAACGCGTTTATCTGTTAATCTGATTTAATTTCATATTTCACTCTCACAGGTATCTTGACGACAATATTGCTGCCAACAATCCTAAAAATTTGACGGTGGATAAGGATGATGAGGATTTCCACGAAAGCAACAAATTCCATGGTGTGTACTGTTTAATATCGATTGTTAATTGAATCAATATATCAGTTATCGATCAGCCAACTGAGAGTTTCTTTATTAAATTTGTTCTTTGTAGCCTATATACTGTATACTATCACTCTGTTTTAATTTAGATTATTTTTCAGCAATTTTTTCCTTTTATATCGTTACTGTGATGTGACCTTCCCTGGATATTTTATATAAAAGTTATTACGTTCATTTTGGACATCTGAAATTCTGTGGTTAAATGCTTATCATACCAATCATTCATTATTGTATCCGTAAAAATCATCGAATATCGGGACAGGTGCTCTACGGTAATTGTTATAAATTTATGCAACACTCCCTGTCATTCATTATTATATACGTAAAAAATCATCAATTATCAAGATAAATAAACGAAATTCTCCCTGTTGTTAGTCATCAATGGAGAGATCACTGCGCTTGATTCCGGTTTTGACATGAATCAGTGTGATCTGGTGGCCTGGTACCTGTTAAGCCTGGGAGGAGAGACAGACATCCACACCGTGCACTTCCATGCCCAGTCCTTTATATCTCGAGCTGAAACCCCGCACAGAGGGGACGTAGTTGAGGTGGGGGCTATTTATTATATAAACGGAAATGTTAATGTTAACAAGTGTTATGTAGTCAGAGTAAGACATATGATTTTTATTTCAATATGCATAGCGGCACAGAACTGGAAGATCTTAATATTTTTTATTTTAGATTTTCCCTGGAACCTTTGAAACGGTCACAATGCTGGCAGACGACCCCGGCACGTGGTTTGTACACTGTCACGTGGATGATCACGTGGCTGCTGGTATGGATACAGTTTTCACAGTTCACCCCAGCACTTCCAGCAATGCTACCGTGGGATTGTGTTAGTAGAGATACAATCGCAATCGTAGGCCTACAGTTTCTAACCCCGGATATCAGAATGATGAGAACATTTTAGAACTATTTGAAGTTATAGTTCAAATTGTGAATCATATTTTTTGTACGTTGAATCCTTCCCAACGCAAGCCAAGTGGGAAACACAAAATCAAACCTAATAAAACGTAAGCGCCTTGCATCCTTTTTTATCGTTCAATAATGGATGCATTATTAAACAATGTGATTCTGTATAGAATCTTGCAAAAATGTTCAGTTAAATGTGACTTTTACTAGACTCAAATTTTACTTTTAAAAGGCCATTTCGCCTCCGTCTTAATGCTAGTCATAAGGGTCTTTGTAACAAAGGCGACTGTTCACTGTGACCGGAGCCTTTCTCAGTAGAATTCGATATTTTGTCCTTATCCGATGAATCCAGTTTGTGTATGTTATCGGGTTCGGGTTCTGGTTTGTCCGCAGCAAAGCTGTCACCTGGTTCGAGCTCTGTCAGTTTCTCGGGTGACTTGTCGCCGCGGCAGTACAGGCGGTCCAGAAGCTTTTGTCGTATCGAGGTCGTCATGAAGCAGTAGATGATGCAGTTGACAAACCCTTGCCCACTGTCACCTATGGCCTAAAAATGGTGAATTTTTTTATGTAAAACAATGCAAACGGGTAGTATAAACGTTGACGAAAACCCAGAATTTACAAGACTAATATATACCCGGTATATAAGGACGTGAATACTATTAAAATGATGAAATGAAAAAGTTCATACTCTTGAAAATAAACGCTGTTGACACCCGAAGAGCACGGTGCCATTACATGTCCAATTTGTCGAACATTTTATGCAATTAACACCACTGAAAAAGGCATAAAACGAACAGAAAATAAACATCATGGTAGCAACGCCATGCCTGAGTTATATAACACGCTTAGTCTCTACAGAAACAACTTTTTAAAGCAAAAAATAAATCCTTACCTGCAACAACCAAAATATATGGTTGACAACAATCTCATAGGTGGCGCTGGTGTTACCAGGTGTCACCCACACAATAGTATTGGCCACAAATCGTATGGTCCCCCATATCCTGAGACACAGGAAGAGGAGGGGTACCAGAGTCATCACCCTGTCGGCTCTCTTTACGGCCTCAATGGTGTTCTTGTTAATGTACAGTTTTGTTGTGTGACGGATCTGAAAAATACAGGCATTTGAAAACAAACAGGAATTTTGAAGTATTAGAGATCGATAATAATGTTGTTTACATTTATTCCAGGTCACTTATCTCTTTTTAAAAATATTTGGGCTCGACTTAATCATTGTTAACGGAACAGCGTTAGGCGATAAATTGTATATAGTGGATTATATTATAGCTTCCCAATTTGATAAATGCAACGCCACTCCTTGATAAAATAATTATTTGGTGAAAAAGTGACATGAATTTAACCAATTTGACTCGAGATGACTGAGAGACTGAAAGCGTAAAACAAACGGACTTCGCAAGATTTTAAGCAGATTTGGGATAAAAAATAATGGCAGACGAGTGATGCGGTGCAGCAACAAATAACAGCTGACAAAATATATCCATAAATATTGTTCTGGTTGTTGTTCTCGAAAGTCCTGTACAAACACAATCAGTTCGTTGCACAACAGTAAAAATTCGCCATTCTTTGCGTGTTTATTTGGTATTGCTTTCTGAGCCCATAGTTTTGATCTTATTAAGCAGTTAACCCCACCACATGCGGATTCTCGCACGTTTTAATAGTCTCAAAAGACCTCAAGCAGTGTCAAAGGCATCTTTTAAGGCTGCCCCCTATTATTCCCATTGTCCAGTCCTTAGTTCGACAGTACCCTGCATTTTCTACGCTAACTTTTACCTAGCACGTTAATTTTCTGTGGCCTTACCGTTCGCTTTAACTTTGACTTCATCTGAAAGTAAACGACTGGTATGAACACGTAGGCCAAGATCTCCCAGCCTTTGCCTGAGATCGTCATCATGAAAATGACCAGCGGCCATCTTGGGGATTGTCCGTGTAGGGACTGTAGGTCGCAGTCACTGGACCGTATCCAGCACCAGCCTCCACTGGCTATAGAGGAGCCGTTGGTGATGCTGGCAAGATCCTCCCCAAGGTTCCCTGTGGCAAGGAGAGGGTAGGTAATCACCACTGGAAAATACACACGTACAGAGAGTTAGACTGGGTTCTCATACCTAGATCGATCTTACAAGATCGATCCATCTCCAAGGGGTTTCTCGCTAAATTGCTTTCAGCTAAAACGGCTTAGACGTCTGGCACGCCTACTGAAGCTGCTAAACAATAATTAATTACCCCCTAGCAGTAGGCGTGACAGACATTTAAGCCGCTTAGGTTGATAGCAATTTAGCGTGAATCCCGTTGGAGATAGATCGATCCAAATTTAGTACGATAGGGTCTGGGAATGGTCCCTTAGATCATGTCACTGGATTTATACCCCGAATTTCAGATGGCATTGCGAATCTACCTCTCAACTCTCAAAATGTCTCTGCCATTCACTGGTAACAGTAGAAGGTAAAGTTCCCAGTGACGTCTTGAACTCAGGGTACGTGAGTAATGATTTGCGCTATTTAATTATGACGGTCCATGATTCTAACCCAACCCCCTGCCCCCGCTAAGATAAATCGATCCTGCTAGTGCGAAAAGGTTACTGGCACACAGTTACAAGGGGGTAATTGACTATCGTTAATTACACCCAAGCAGCTTGAGTAGGCGATCCAGACATTTAAGTCTCTTTAGTCTCATTGAGTGCAATTTAGTGAAAACCCGCACGAAAACGAAGTAGATACTCCAGCGCAGTAGACTACTGCAATCATGCTGCAAACATACTTCAAATCTGCTTCGATGTGGGAGCTAATTAGCATATTTGAAACATGCTTCTATCATGCTGCTAATCTACTGCATCAACGCTCCTCCTCTATACATCCCTATGTAATTTTTGAAGTAGAATTGCAGTAGGCTATACTGCATTTCTACTGCAAATATGCTCCACACCACTACTGCGTTAATGCTTCTTTGCTACTTCGATACTACTGCATTTTTGTGCGGGAAAGAGACTATGGACAATTAATCCCCGCAGTGTTAGAGTGATCCAGCTAGTACGATGGGTTTATATGAACGCTTCCTTAGATTAATCCAAGAAATTTGTGAGTTAATTGTGAGACATGTCTAAGGTAAAAACTTACGCGGTATCCCCCAGCTGACCACGTGTGCCGGCCACTCTCGTCTGTCCAACCAGCTCTGGACAGTATCTGTCTTCAGAATCGCCTGGCGTACCTTTAACGCGACAAAGCAGTTCCAGAAAAAAGACGCCAGCGACGCGTATGTCGACATAAAGCTTTGAATTATACACGTGTTGTTAACTATATCTACGTCACAGTCTTCATCTTGTTGGTCAATGGTGTTGTATTTTCCTAGCAGAGACGCGCTCGCGCCCATGAAATTCCCGACAGCCACTAAAAAGTCCGCCAAAGTAAGAAACAACAGAAATCGTCTGCTGCTAGACCCCGTGTCTTTACACAGAAACCATGCCACAAATATAAGAACACAGCCGATCCAAGACAGGACGCTAGAAATGATAGCGGCCGAATATGTGACGACTGCAAAAGTCCCACATGGCATTTTTGTAGTTCTTTTTATGCAGAAAGTTCAGTTAATTTTGGGCGTCCTGAAATAAAATAATACAAATATATAAATAAAAAATACAAAATGGAAATATAGTTGGAAATTTAAGTTCGAGGGTCAACACTGAAGAGAGCAATATTCTAATGATGATAAAGGTGTAGTGGCATACAGACATACTCTTTACTTCTTTCCTTTAATTGTTTCCCGATATTTCGTTGTAGCCTCATAAAAACACATTTATATTGTGTTTGGCTGATTTCCCTCCTGCTTCCTATACTTATGACTGACATTATAAAAAAAGAAGGAGGTGAAGGGAAGCCTCCATAGATCACCGCACTGTTACTTCTGAGGATTTTGCTTAATAGAGGGGGTGTGTTGTTAGTCTAGCTCAGTCAGGCGGCCAACCGAGGACGGTCTACTTGTAACTGCGACCAGTAATATCATCTCCGGCGTTTATATTGGCGAAGCTGTTTGATAATTATATAATGGTTCAGCCATGATAACTACCACAGTAAGTAAAACAGAAAATTGAAGGAATTAAAGTAATTGTTGCCATGCAAATATATACTCACGGTCGAGCTAAGAAGATTATCCAAACCCCTTTGGAATTGTATTTTGTTTTGTTCTACATTCAGTCCATAACGCTTGATCCAAAATCTAAACTAGTTCTTCTCTACCGCTGTATTTGATGACACACACTCACGTGAAGATCTACATATCTAAATTCACGTACTATATTTATATCGTGCATGCATTTACACTTGTACCTGTATATATTTTAGATCGTCAGACCACGCGTGCAGTGATGCTCACTTGAAAACTCACTGGAAATGATTGTAACTTTAAAAAACTCTTTGCTATTAACAGACGCTACACGTTTCTCTCCATAACTGACAACGCAGAAAATGCCACCGGCAGGACTACTACCTGTAGCGAATACAGATATAGCCTGTTAAATGTACAAATGCAGACGCGGCTACACTGTACGGGTGTCATTACCCGTTGTATCATCATGGTATCTATAAAACCAGTGTTGATAACTACGACGACACGGCCATACCCGTACTAGTATAATCTTAAGTCCTGGGTCAGATAACTCATTTACAGTAAATATAGGTACACGTTACAGTAAAAGTGGTTTATCTGCGGTGTATCTGGTTGATAATTTAGTCTTATCGTTTCCCGAAAATCATAGGTCATGGCGCTTGCGTCACTTCCGGGATTAAATTGGTCGAACTCAGTAGCAGACGGTAAAGTCCTCAATTCATGCAGTGTAGCGGAAAAATGAATATATCCGAATGTTTTTGATTGAAGATTTCACTTTTGGAAATGCCCTACCAAATTTTATTAGAAAAACAGATGACTTTGACCATTTTAAATCTCTTTTAAAGACCCACATTTTTAATTCTGTCTATATCTCTTAGATTAAAAAAAAAAAAAAAAAAAAAAATATATATATATATATATATATATATATATATATATATATATATATATATATATATATATATATATATATTTAAATATATATATATATGTATCTTAATAAGATTGATTTTTAGTAGTGTAAATTTTAAATGGTTTTCAATGAGAGTTTATGATTAAAATATTGTAGTCATTTTAATGATTTTAGTATATTAGCCATTATTGTAAGGCGCCTTGGGATAGAATGTAAGGCGCCATATAAGAATCTTCTTCTTATTATTATTAAATGCATTTAAATACCATTGGAGCAGATAGGGTTGAATGGCGGTGTAACAAAACTGAGGGTCCGTGTAAAAGAAATAATATGGTTAGGGTTAGCCTGACCGAAGCAGGTCAAAATCTAGGACGAGGCTTACCTGTACAAATGAATGGGAAGCGGACTCTCTATTATGGGGGACTCTCTGTCACGTTACACCGGTAAACGCATAAAGAATCATTCCTGTGATAAGCAACTCTATGTTTACACATAAGGCTGCTTGTTATATTTCTCACCAACTGGGCAAAGTTTCACAATTGCTCCAGTCGGCCAGTCATCAGGAGCTCGTGCTCATGACCTCAAGTTCAACGACCAGTTTTTTTTTATATTTCTTTTTTTTATTACTGTTGATTTTCTTTTTTTAATACTGGAGAATGCTACATTTCAAAACAGTGAAAATAATGGGGTCAATAAAATTACGTAAATAGTGCACAGAATAAACACGTCATATACAATATCTAGATTTAGATGTTCACTTTTTCTATCAAACACTGTTCTAAAGAGTGCACATTCATTGCTTTTGCCAAACAAACGTGTTTTGGCTATTTCTTATGAATACAAAACATCGATGATGCATCGTGCACATAGAATAAATGTCTTTCAAGTGTATGAAAAAGTTATAGGTAATAAACACAAAATATCTCTGAGAAAATGTGACATCATTTATGGACTTTTATTTACGTATGTTTTCTTTTAAATCCGTGGAACAGCATTTCAATTTCAAGTGTGAGGTCCAATTCATGATAGATGACAGAAAGCCAGACTTCTATCAAAACAGATCAAAGATATTGCAAACGGGAAGGGGGAGTGAGCACGTATGAAATAGTAGACGTGGACAAATCTGTCATATGATGTTCGCAGAGGTGGACTTATTTCACGGTTTGTCTTACTTAACTAACCTCCTCCCCCAGGATAAAACATGATGGCGAAATATTTAAGAGTCATGTCAAACTCACAACTGACGTATTTATCGATATTTAAAATAAATACGTATGTATATGTATGGTGCCTGTCTGTAATAAATATTTACCATGTCAACTGTGGCCGTAAAATCTAGAATACTGAAACGATGGAATTGTTATAACAAATTCCAAATATGAATGGTTTTTTCATCATTGCAAGTATTACCAGCATGATGTTAATGGATTGTCCTGGCCGTGACATTTCCAAGGTCGATGACACTAATGTTGTAAACAGTTTAGACTCTATTAGAAATCAATATCAGCTACTGTCATTTTTACATTTAACCTTGTTCCCCTCCCTCTTTGCCACGAGCCAGGCAAAGTATTATTATCATTTTTATTATTTGCAAATCGTACATTGATCAGTCAAAGATATTGTGGGATTGATTTTTCTGCAACTCCAATGACGTTTTTGTTGTGCGTTGGAAAAAAAGGCGATTTAAGATTTTGCACTAGTAAGTGTTAATGACAAACATTTTCACCATAAATTTAATTGGAAATCAATATGTTGAGGCTTAAAAGTCTTTTTTCATGAACCCAAGCTGTTACTCTTTTGTTCCAGTTACGTTAAGTATATACTCTGCAGCCATAGATACTTTTACACGTACCTGATTTGCCCCTTTGGTAGCATAAAACGGTTTGAAAAGGCTCCTTACATTATTTAGCAGAGGGATTGGATTAGTCACAAATACTTCAATAGTTTTCTAGGTTTGTTTCTCTTGGCAGTAAAATAATAACCCGATAAAAAGGAATCATCAATAGGTGTTCTTTTGATATAGACACGATTCGATGCACACATTAGAAATACACCAATAGCTGATCAAAAAATATAGAGTTTAATTGTAAATCAATCCATTATTTCATTTACAGATGTCCAAGATATCGATGTAAGTATTGACAACTATACCCTTCACCATTCGCTCAAGGCCACCTTCGTTCTTTAATCAATTTTGTTCACAAAAACATAACGCTGTCTAAAAAGTGTTTTTTGTTATCGTCTACGGAGGAGTATAAGAGGTGTTGTTGATGGGTGTGACTGGCATTGGATACCACAATAGCTGTGAGCAGAAATCAAATGCAACATGGTGCTGAAACGATTCCTTGTTTGTGATGTCCTGCTGTGTTTGATTATATTCAAAGGTATGTCTATCCATATGACGTTATTATCATCATGTTTGCTTGATAAACTGTAGTTAAACACATGTATCAATAGCCAAGGCACATTGGATTCGAAATCTGCCGAATACCCCAAAAGTATTTGGTATCACGGGACAAATTGGCCCGCCTGACATCAGGTGTGTTTTTTTGTCAAGTTGTGAGCCATGAGGCATTACATTCTCACCCCCCCCCCCCAAAAAAAAAAA